CATGTGTACGTAAGAAAAGCTCTCCTGTGAGGGTGGCAGAGCCTGGAGCAGCTGCCCAGAGAGGTTGTGGAGTCTCCTCCTCTGGAGAGATCCCAAACCTGCCTGGCTGTGACCCTGGGCACCCTGCTGTGGGTGAGCTGCTGGAGCAGGGGGGTGGATGAGATGATCCCCAGAGGTCCCTTCCCACCCCACCATGCTGGGATTCTGTGTTTATCCAAGAGCTCAAAGCCAGTGTGAGAACTGAGAGCAAATCCAGGTATGCTGATGCTCAGGTACAACCCCAGGGGTTGTTATTTCCCCCCCAGGGTGGGGGCAGCCAGGCAGGACCCTTACTCTCTGCATCCCCCCTGTCTGGGGAGCTGGGGGGCAGCTTCTGGACGTAATCCTTCAGGAGGAGCTCGTAGCGGGGGATCCTCTGCACGGGCTCCAGCATGTGGTGCTGCAGCGTCAGGTTAGCACAGACCTTCCTCTTCTGGGGACAGACAGCACCCGTGGAGAGAGGCACAGCACCCAGGGCAGCCCCCACACCCCTCTCCCCACGGGGGGATTTTGGGGGATCTTCACCTGGATGTCAGCAATGAGCTCCTGGAAAGGCGGCGACTTCTCGGACCAGAGCGTGAGGAGCTCCAGGGCCCTGTTGAAGTTCCTGAGGTACTCCCCATACATCTTCAGGAAGGGTGCCAGCTTCTGGATGATGTCCCCGATGCGTGGGTGGCGGCCCCTGCGGGGGCAGCGATGGGTTGGGAGCTCCCACAGGGCAGGGGGGGCACAGGGAGGGACAGAGAGGGGTGGCTCAGGCACTAGGGGCACGCTGGTTTCTGTTGCTGTCACCTGCTGGGGCCCCAAACGGGCTGGATGGGCAGGTCCAAAGAGTGGGGGTGAATGGAGTTAAGGCCAGCTGGCAGCTGGGTGTCCCCAGGGCTCAGTTTTGGGGCCTGTTCTCTCCATTAACTTTATCAATGATTTGGACAAGGGGATCGAGGCACCCTCAGACAGCTGGCAGAGGACACCAAGCTGGGTGGAGTGTTGATCTGCTGGAGGGTCAGAGGTTCTACAGCGGGATCTGGTCAGGCTGAACCAATGGGCTGAGGTTCAACAAGGGCAAGGGCCAGGTCCTGCCCTTGGGTCACCACAACCCCCTGCAGAGCTCCAGGCTGGGGCGGAG